CATCCATTTTAAGCATCATATCTCAAGACAAATTAGGGCAATTAGAGATATTGCAGAAGAAACAACAAAACCACTCAAAAGTGTAAAAATTTCATCTAGAAGATGACAACGAAAAAACCCAACAAACTGGAACTGTTTAATCTACAGAAGACTAAAATGAAGCAAAAATGTAAGAAAATTAATTTAAAAAGACAAAAATTGCAGAACAATTTATTCTAACACTTATATGCCCAGAATGAAAAGGACAAGAGTGTGATTATCCTTCAGAAAATTTTCCAGTAGTCAGAGTGACCCCACAGACAATCCCTAGTAGATTCAGGGACATTTCTGGAAATCAAAGATTTTCATTAAGTCATCTACAGTTCTCCTGCCTTGGGCTACAGGAATAGATGAGACATGGCTCACAGTGACCAGGAGAGTTTATTGCCCATGTTTCTCAAGTGTAAGAACATGGATACTGTATCTGTGTGGATAAAGACCATATACGAACAACAGCTGCAATGGATTCTTCCCCTGACATAAAGGATCTAAAAATTGCCAAGTTAATACTGATATGGGGTTACATGTAGCTTAACACTAAACAACTCATTTGATTGCAAGTTGTTGTGGACAGACTTGTGTTCATGCTGCCTGCACCCTAATCCCAACTGAATGTAAACAACGCTTACCCAAAATGTGTCGGCATCAAGCTCTAGCTGGTATCAAAAGGCCTGCCTCTGGACTAACATTTCTCTTTTTCTTCCCTCCCACTACATACTTAGGGAGAGAACAGCTTCGTTTTCATGCTGCCTGTTGTTTTTAAAAATACAGACTGATTTTTAATGCTAGAGTACAGGCAAGCCTGCAATGCTCTCTATACTAGTGAGGCTGACTGCATTAGTAAAAGGAAAAAGAAACAGAGTGCTGAAAGGCTCCTCTGGATAAGGCAGTGTTGGAACAAGTGTTGCACATTTGATTTGAAGAGCAAAGGGTAGCACAAAGAGTGTTACCCTTGCTCGGGCAAACGCAGAGCATGTTAAAAGCAAAGGAAGGTAGACAAATAGCTGCAAAATGCTGGGTAAAACGCACTATTTAAAAAAACCAACTTCACAGCTACAGTGTTTTATGGGGTCATAAGCATATACCTAGCAAAAAACATTGCTAAAATACGCCAACTGAAAAACATGCATATAACAGCATACAAAACAATGTGGGGATTTAGTATTTGCACTTTAGTAATATACTTACCATTCTTTCTAGTATTTCAGAGTCATGGTTTAAAAAAAAATAAATTTCCTTTTATGCCACGACAATAAAAGGAAATAACACGCTCCAATGCTCACAAGTTCAAGGATAAAATTAAAAAGATGCATGTGTTGAGCATTTGAGATTTGGCCACCAGCAGGCTGTGTGACATACCTTCCAAGTTTAAGGTTGTATATTTTTTGCTGACTAACCTGTGGACTGGATTTTAAACTCGAAATAGCTCTTGTTCTGATGCAAAGGTGCATTGGCTAAGCAGCCTCCTGTGCCACATATTCTTCTGCCATTTTTAACAATGACAACATCTGTTCCTGCAAGAAAAACAAACACCACAAAACTTCAAAACATTTTTAGAAGTCTGGAAGCAGCCCTCAAAGCCCTAAACATTGAAAACAGTTTTTGTTCTTTCTGCCCCAAGTAAAAGCTTCATTAGTCTGTAAGAATTATGATGACGGGCCACACTTTGAAGTAAGAGAAGGAAGGCTGTTTACAGGCTAGTTCATCTTTCCACTAGGGTTTATTTATTTAAAATCTATACACTGATCTAATTTTCACCTCCTGGGCTTTACAGCACCCTGCTGATTACAACTTTTGCTTAACCACATCAGAAGCATAACTTACAATTTAGTCAGAAAGGGTTCACTGTGAGACCAAAGCCCTGTACTCTGTCTCTAACATCGGAGAAAAAACATTCTGCAACAAGAAGGAAAAGCATATTGGATAGAAATGATTGATGGAATTGCAAGGTGTTTAGTCATTCTATGAAATAATCCTTTTATTCAAAACATGCCTGTCAATACAGAAAGAAAAAAATGAAGTTTTCCTTCTCCATTGGAAGACTTTATCTTTGGGCACTGTGGTCAAGTACACGGCAGGCAGTTGCTAATAATGGTGCTCAAGCACTGGACTCATCTATTCCTCTTAGCTCTCTCCCCAGCTGTGGTGCTGCTGGCCCAGACCACTTCTCTCCTCAACAAAGGCCGGGCATGGTTTTGTGGCTAGCTCATCCTAAGGACAACGTTTAAACGAGCGGCATGGACAAGATTCTGCAAGGCCTGGCTCCTTCAGCATCTTCACTGCCATAACTGGAAGTGGAGTCACCGTCCCTGGAGATGTTTAAGGTAAGACTGGACGTGGCACTGTTCGGTCATAGGTTGGACTTGATCTCAGAGGTCTTTTCCAACCCGGTTGATTCTGTGATTCTGTGAACTCGTCCCCTCGGCTCTGACCCGGACCACCCTTGTCGGGCTGCCTGTCCCCCTCGGACACCCCCAGAGACCGAGGCGCACCCCGACATATTCATCGTGCTGATCACCTTCAGTTTAAGCCAAAGCGAGGCTTTCTTTTTCTTTTTTTTTTTTTCTCCCTAAAAACTGCCAAATCCTGCCTAAACAAGCGCCAGAAAGCGACTTTCCCAGCGGTTACCCCGTGCCGCGCCCGAAGGCTGCGGCCCTGCCCGCCGGGGAGCCGCCCACCGCCGAGCACCGGGCCTGTCCCGCCGCGCTCACCATGCGCTGCGTGTCCAGGGTGCACCGCCGGCATCTTCCTTGAGCGGGATGTGACCGGCGCCGCCATCCCGCAGCCAAGGAGAAGCCAGCCAGAACACGGGAGGCGGCCATGACCGGCCGCACCCGCCACGCCGCGCAGGCGCAACGGCCACCGCCGCCCCGCCCTTCCCGCCCCGCGCAACACATGGTGGGAGGGGAGCGGGAGAGGAAATGCGGGTTAAAAAGCAGCAAACCCAGCTTTAAAGCTCCGTCTTTCCTCTGGAGGAGAAAATTTAATGGAAAACGAGCGCAGGCGATAGCCTGCTGCTCTTCCTTCGCAGCTGTGGCGGTGGCGTGAGAAGACCGGCGCAGTCTCCTAAGGGGCAGTTTGTACGTGTATACGTGTACATGAGGGACAATTCATGCAAACGGGGAACACTGATCGTGGTGGGCAGGTGGTAGGTATCGTGTCAGTGAAGTTCACACGCGGGAAGGGACTCCTTCGTGGAAGTCTACTGGTTAGTTATTCCCGGCGCCAAGTCACAAGAATCCCAGTTCTCTTATTTCGCCTCCCCCCCCTTCATTTTTTAATTCTTTCTTAGCAAAGTCAAAAGAGACAGGGCTCCCTGAAGTGAAAGGTTCGCACAGCCGGGCCTGGCAGGTGCACCTCTGAGTTGCCCTTTCTCCTCACCTTCCAGATCTGTCCAGCTATAGTGAGTCTTAACCCTGAGTGTTCTGGGCACTATTTGCTTCTAGAGGACTTTCTCATCTGTTCAAAAGCTTTGATAGAGTGTATTTCATTTTTTACGTGGTTAAACTCTACTGTAAAGACTGCCACAGTGAAAAGCCCACGTGCTAGCGTTGCACTTAGCATCTTTTTGCAAAGCACAGTTTGGGACCAGATTTGTGTCCCTTTCACAGAGGCAGAATGCCATGTAATTTAAAAAGCTGTAGCTTGTGGCCTTTGGATTATTCAAGCATTTCTACATCCATTTCTGCATCCCTACGTCACCCGCAGCATTCAGAACGGGGGCTATAACAAACACAGTAAATATTGATAACATGGCTATAGAAGCCCACCTGTGCCTACTTCACATTTTTATTTCTCTACAGAAAAATATCCAATAAATGTTGTGCCATGAGCTGCTGATCTAGAATGTTTTGCAGACAGCAGGTATTTTCAATACTTACATTTGAAAGGTTATTTATCTCCAGACCAGTTTGGAATGAAATTGTTTCTCATTATTTTCAGCTGGTGTGTTATTTTGTGGCATTTCACCTAGAAAGCTCCCTTAGCATTTTATTATAGTATAAAGCATGATGCAACTAATGTAAGCCATGTGGTACAATGTTATCTGCCTTGAGGAGGGCAGGCGGTTAACACAGATATTCAAAAACCCTTGTTAAAAGAAATCTTCATAGCGAGAAATAATCTTACTGGTCTGGATGGGCTGTATCAGTCTCACCTCCTTTACTTGAAACATGAGGTGAAGTGCTGTCTTTCTCAAAATTGTGCCTAAAATCAATCTGATTTTAAGAGCAGCTTTAATATATACTTCCTTTCTTTTATTGGACGTACTGTTACAGCCCATAAAAATTTGGGGTCAAGAACTCACTTCCTTAAAATATGCCAAATGGGATTAATCTTGAACTTCCAAGAAGTAAATATTAGGTGGAAACTGATGTTTATTTATTTCGTATGGAGGGCATCGGAATTCTCACTGGTAGCTTGTTGTTCACATAATTTAAATCACTGTGGGATTTTTATTGCCTGTCACTCATTGTGGGTTTGTTACAGTAAATGCTAAATGACAAATGTTAATATAGCTTTTAAACAAAAAGGAAAACCAATTTAGAAAGAGACTCAACCTCCAAATGATTCCCTGTCCCATTTTTTTCTGTGTGCCCCAGTAAGTCCTTTCTTCTCCAAAATGAGCACTGGGAGTACAAACACATCTTGCCACATGAAGTCAGTATTGCCAAATGTGTTTGACTCAAGGGCGTGAGGCTTTGGGAAGCAGTGGCTGGCTATGCCTTCCTGCCAGTTTCCTGCTCTGCTGCTTTCTTAACTTGAGAGGCTGGTTTTACAGGCCAGCAGGCTGCAGCTGGGGCAAAGTACATGCCACAGCTCAGAAAAGTTGCTGGTGCTGCTTTGGAGCACATTGACTCCAGTGCCTGTGCGCTCAGCAGGCAGGAAGTCCCAGGAGACCAACTCATCCCTGCATCTCCCTGTCTCCCTCCAGATGCAGAGCCCAGCTCCTGAGCACCCTGGCACCAGATGGTGACGGCTTGGTGTCACAATGTGCAGGAACAGCAGCAGAGATGTACATGTGCCCTGAGTGAAGGCTCTGGTACTGGACACAAGCAGATAACAACCGTGGTGTGGTGGAACTAAGGCAAAAGTCAGCTGGTCAGCTGGTAAGAAACATGGCTTATTCATATGGCTTTCTTGAAGGATGAGGTGAGCGATACCAGCAGGACAGTACTGTATTTGTAAATGTGCTTGTCAGCTTGTTTAGAGTGTATTTGAACACCAACATTTTTACAGTGCATAAAGAACTTCCCCAAGGAAATGAAGATCTGGCCTTCAATATTTAGAAGTATAACTGTGTTTGGTAATCAAGGGTTAATTCAGCTTCTGCCTTCCTTGAATGTGCATTTTTTCACTGGGGAGGCCAAGTATTTAGGACCCTCCCATACTGGAAGCAAAATTGTGCTCAGCATGCCTAAACATGCTTGTTGCTTGCAGGATTTTGACTTTATTTCCTTGAACAGTAGCAGCAGAGACATTTTGTCTGGGAACCATGTTAGTAGAACAGGAATACAACCACTCCCATCCGTTTCACAAAGGCAGAAAGAAAATTATGGTCACTGACTTGTTTTATTCTCTAGCTCAGAGCTTCATTCACAAAATACAACTGTCTCTCATTAGCCCTGCAAAGTACATCTACTGGCTGCAGACAAGTATGTTTCAGAAAGGTTCTCTGATATGCCAAATTTGTGGGAGAGAGGGCAGCTCTCTCCTGTTGTGGCAGCACATAATACAACAATGTAATACCACATGACTAATCAGTTCTCAGAAAAATAATTCCTCTTCACCCTGTTAGTAAAACCACTGGGACTTGCTTCTCCATTGTCACAAGCTTTGTGGAGGCATTTGCACCTGTGAAAACCAATGAAAAAAAGTAGTTATTATGTGGGCTGGGGTAGATTTGGTAATGTCTCTGTGCAGCTTGCACAGAAGTAAATGATGGTGCAGGACTGGAAAATCAAGGTTTGTTTATTGAAAGCAGTCCTTCCACTCCCAGGGTCAGGCCTGTGGTTTGGAAGATGATACAGACGAAGTCTCAGATGAAAAACAGGTTGTGCTTGTACTTTTGAAATCTTCATTATAATGTGTGCTTGTACTTTTGAAATCTTCATTATAATGTGTTCTTGTGAGGATCGACATTCCGTAGGAAGTCCTCTGTTTTATACAGTTAATCTGACACTTGGCAAATCATAGAAGAAATTACATATGAAAATTAGTTTGGTTCCTTGTTGTTCTATTTACTTTGGAGGTCACTTCTCCTTTCCTCTTTATAAGCAAACCCACCAGGGCAGAGCTTTGATCTATAGGCAGTCACAAACCTCATTAAAACTGACAGGCACTCTGGCCATGCTTTGTTCAGGAAGGAGCAATTAAGTTCTTTCAGGGCATAAGATAGCTAAAACCTAGAAACCGCTGCCCACGGTACAGGGCTACATAGGCAACTGCTAAGATGAGCTGACTCGTATGAGCAAGCACCAATTTGGAGAAAGTCAGAGAGACTTTTCTAGGGACTGCTTGCGAACGCAGCAGCTAGAGCACAGATTGGTTGCAGCTGTGTTTGCCTGTGTGCATGTCTGAGACCGGAAACACCACGCAAGAGCCAGCAGACAGTGGGAGAAGCAGTGGTGTATGGCCCTGAGAAAAAGCCAAGGGACAGCTTCTGGGCAAGCATCCTGGCTAGAGCAGCAAACTTGGACTGCCGCACAGTACTCCCTCCCATTTGCTTCCTCTGCGTGCAAGGAAATGGGACGTGGCTGTACATTCTTTGTAAATAAATAAGATTTTGCTAAGGAGCTAACTGAAATCGTCATCGATCCCCTCCACCCCCCTCTGCAGGAAAATTTGGTAAAGTGCTGAATATTAGTTAGCTGTGTGGTCAAAGTTCCATAAGTAAAACTAGAGAACTTCTTATTACTGCTAAAATAGTCACCAGAGACCCTGCAGATATCAAGGCAGTCTCTGAAATTCAGACCTCAAAACAGTAGTTGATAATTTCAATCGCTGATGATCCTTCATGGATTTTAATGCCTGGTATTTCTACAACACATATTAAAAGTAGCTTTTATGGAACAATAACAAGAAATTGCTTTCTCTGATCCCTCATTTGGAATGTTTAATGAAGTCCAGATGTATCTGTTGAAAAGAAAGGTAGTCAGATGTGATATAGCTATGAAATGTTTATATATTAGTAAGGTATTTGATACACAGAGCTGTTTTGAATAGTTTCTTTATTTGTGTTATTTTACAGTGTCTTCTTATTGTGCTGCTATTGGCATCAAAGCTCTTGCAGATTTATGTTCATTTTTAGGTACCCACAGCAACTACATTGTCTACCTCAAATTGAGGGTATGCTCCCCCCAGCACAGCTGAATAAAGCAGCGTCCTTCCAGAAGTCTCTGTCCTGACACTGGAGTGTACTGTCTGTGTGCTCTGATACCTCTGTAACAGGACATGAAGCCTTAGCCTCCTTCAGTGGGAAGTAAAAGGCAGGTTCACAGCCAAGAATAAGACTGTAAAATTCCCTCAACTCACCTCCTTTCCTTGGAGTTTCACCCTAGGAGACACTTGAAATCTGACAGGTCTTCGGTAGCATGGCTTCAGAGGTGCCTTACTGATGGGGAATACAAACTTGGGAGAAAGAGAAGGCAGCTTTTAATTCCAGCTACATTTATCAATCAGTTCTTCTCCAGCACAGCAGAGCAGGTACCTGGGGCCTGGAATGAGCAGCTGGTGTGGGCAAAGGGCAAGGCTGTGTTACTTTTGGCAGTAGCGCTGGCAATAGCTGGCTGGAAGCATTTGGGAAATTATGGCCTGTGGGTACACTTCTGGTTTATGTGTATGCAGGCTGCCACCAAAACAGGCCCACTTTGTGGCTCATCCTGGTGTTTGTTTGGCCGTGGGATCAGCTGGCTGCCAAAATTGATCCTCCTGAAAACTTTTTTTTTTTTTTGGTAAACTGGATTAGCTTTCAGCTCTGTTGGCAAGTGTATCTGGCCTAACATGTGGCTGCACAAATGTTGGAGCCAGCAGAGAGGAGGCATCAGGAAAGCATGACTAAGGGAAGGGGAAAGGATGGAATGATCACTTTTGCCAGTAGCACAGTCTCATCTTGGCTTAACCTGGCAAGAATCTGCCTGTCAGGGTAGAATTACCTGTTACAGCTTGAGTCACGTTAATGGCTTGCTTCCATGGAAAGGGAAAAATCTTGTTCCTCTTTTCCCTACTCCTCTGATGTTAGACCTGATGATTGTCTAATCTTGCACTGAACTGGTTTAACTCGTTGAATCAGCAGAAAACTCACCTTGGGAAAGAAAAGGGAATAGTGTTCTGCTTGGCTTAGTGGGTAGAATCAGCTCAGTGGAGCATCTGTGGAGCCTGGCAAAGCTGGTCCAGGCAAGGAGAGCAGGAGCTGTCAGCTCTAAAGTTGCTGACTGAACCACAGCACAGAGCTTCAATCTCAGAAATATCCTGTTACAACACTTACTAGAAGAGCTGTGATCTGGGTTCTCTGTAATTTAAAGATGACAATAGGCAATATCACTTTGTCTTACAACAAACATGGTGTTTGTCTTGAAAAGCTGGAAGTTGACACTATTTTATAATTCATTCCAAATTCCTGCCCCTGTATTTTCAACGCTCCCATGGCTAAGTGACATTTATCCTAACACTTCCCTTCAAGCTGGGCCTCTCCTTTGAGCTTAGCTTTCGCTTGGGTTTGTTTCTGTATTAGATAGGGAAATACTGCCACAGATATACTAATGCTCTTTTCCATCAGCCAGAACTTTTCTCTGAAGTTTCAACAAATGGCCTTTGATGCTGCTGTGGGAAGACACTGTGCTCTCAAATGCAGGAATGCAAGCTTATAAACAAGCTGCTATTGAAACTGCTGCTATTGAAGCAACAAAGAGTTCAGAGGAGGACACTTAAGTATGGTGCTGGCTAGACAGTGTTTCTGTGCACCAAGCACAGAAATCCTGTGCTGTGTTTGCCCAGAAGTTTAAGCTTTCATCTTTGACAGAAGAAATCCCAGACCATTTTATAGGTGCACCTAATGAAGAGGAGATATCCCAGGTGGGCTGGTGTCTGCTCTTACATTCATACAGCTCCTTCTTCATTTACCAGGAGACAGAGTAGGACCAGCCCAAAGAATTATGGAGAATAAAATGTACTTTAAAAAAAATCAGGAAAAAAGTTATATATGAAATATATGAACTTAATAATGAGTGAGAAATCTAAAATGCCATGTTGTTGTTAGTCTTTAACCTTATGATTAATCCTTAACCATAAAATTACAGAGAAGATTAGTAAAACTCAGGAATTCTTGATATAAAAGTGGCTGTTAGGAAGGTGTAGACAAGGGATTACTCGGCAAACATAAGTGTGCAAGCATTGGGATGCAAACTTGAATGCAATTTGGGTGGCTGAGGAATGGATTGAGCTATCACTTTTCAGAAACTATCTGGAATTACTTGTTTTTAATAAACGGCAAATAAGATGCTGGACAGTTAAGAAGGCATAAGGAGGACACTGAAATGTGCCTGAAGGTCTTGATTGCTTTTGTGTAGCAACTCTACGTCCTGGGGCCGTTCTCCAGTAGATAGTGGGTGAAATGCCCAAGTGTGTGAGCCCTCTGAAGGAGATTTTCAAAAATGCTTGTCCTTGGTCAAACTGTTCCCAGTGAGTCCAGCTGAGCAGGCAGGCCAGCTTGGGTGGAGGCAGCAAGGAGGGAAGTGAGGAGGAGATCTTCTGGCTGCAGTAAACTGGGGAAGCATAGCCTCGGCATGTTATTGAATGGCTTTTAAGATATGGATTCCTAAATAATCAGAAGAAAGATGTCAGATGCACAAGGAAGCTTTATTTGATAGAAGTACAGTCTGGCCTGTGATGTCACTTGTGCGGGTAGTCATTGAGGGGAATGCTCTCCCCTGTGCTGATGAGTGATGTGACTGCAGTGGGTGCAGAGTAGGGGAGTGAAGGGATGCAGCAGGCAAAGTACATGCATTTTGGAACAGTTTTGATGTAGACTTTGTCACAAAGTCCAACTTGAAAGTAAGTTCAGTTTGGCTTTGATGTGAGACCTGTTATATTGACTGAGAACTAACGGAAGGACTGCAAAAAAGATACAAATCAAAAAGGTTCTCTGCAGTTTCAGTACTTTCAGACACAGTTTTGTAGTCCTGTAACTAGAAGGTCCTCCCCAGGTGGAGGTGGGATCCCTCCTGCTCCCTCTCCCTGGGGCTGGTCAGAAGACCTGCAGAGGTTTGACAGGCCACATTACTCTCCAACAGATTCACCGGCAGGAAATGGTACAACCAGTGCGTTAAAGCAAAAAGAAATGAGTCTCCGTCCTATTACGAAGCACATAAGGAAATCTGTCTGAAGTAATTGTTATTTTAATAAGTGCTTTCAGGAGGTGGAAGATGCTCAGCGGGATTGCCACCCAGCAGCGCCCTTCCTTAGGCTGTGCAACGTGTGCCTGTGAGAAGCATCCTGAAGTCTAATTAGAGAGTTAATAAACATCTGACACCCGTATATATCTCGGCGGAGGAACAGGCTGCAGCCTCGGCAAGCGGCATCTCCCCGCCAGCCCCCTCTCCTGGCAGCCCCGGGGGCTTTCCGCGCCGGCTCGCGGGCAAGCCAAGGGGGAAGAGCGCAGCGAGCTCCTGCCCCGGGTGATGGCGGCCTTGGGCCAAGGTGGGTGAACGGCGGGCAGCAGTCCGACCGATCGCTCCGGGCCGAGAGGCCGGGCGGCGGAGGGCGGCCCGGAAGAGGGGAGCGGCGCCGGGCGGGGCGGGGGCCGAGGCGGCCGCTGCCCCACCTGTCCGCGACCCCGGCCGGCATGGTGAGTAGTGGGGCCCGGGAAGCAGGACGGGCGGGCGGCGGCCGGGGGCGCGCAGGCCGCGGCTTTGTGAGAGCGGCGGCAGCGCCCGGCCCGGGCCGCGCCGCGATCGGCGGCCGTTCCGCTCGCAGCGCCCCCCCGACCCCGCTGTGTTTTCGGACCCCCAGGGCCGCCCCCTCGGCTGCCGGCGGCCGGCGGAGCGCTGGGAGCCCCAGGGAGGGCAGGGCCGGCGGCCGCTGGAGCGCCATGGCTAAGGGGGATTCCCCGATGGGATCGGAGGGGGTGTAACCAGAAGCAGCGAGGGAACCTCTGCCTGGTCAGAGGCACGGGGAGGTAAGCGCGGGCAGCCCCCGCGCTCGGCACGTTGTCAAGCCCTGTGGGTGAAGCGGTGTTCGTGGGACTGTAGCTGCACTCCTGTTTCTCCAGGCCTTTCTCGCTCTCTTGAAACTGCATTGAACCGAAATTGCTTATTTCTCCAGGCCTCTCTAGCTTTCTAGAGGCTGCACGCATTGGATCTGCCTGGTGCTCCTGGAAAAATTTTTGGCCGTGAAATAACACTTAACATGCCATTGCAGGAAACTTGTAATTCAGGACTTGTCTTTCTGTTTTGTTTGAAGCTTGGTGAAATTTTGGTTTTGCTTTCAGTATGCTGCTGGCTGATAAACCCGACTTCTGTGCTGAGAAGCATACTAAATTAATTTCTCTTTGGAGCGTGGGAAAAAGCTACTGTGGTTGGTTTTGCATTTATGGTTTGATGTGTTTTGCCATTCTTTTTCCTAATGATAAAACTGTGCAAATTGCTTTTTCTGATGGATGACATCTGTTGGGTTTGTACCCAGAGATGCTTTTGGTTTATGTGCTACAAGTGGGAAATTCCAGGGCCATCCAAACCTGGATCAGAAGTTACACAGAGAAGTTCCCAATGGAGAAGTTGAAATGTTGCTGTAGTTCTTCACACAAATACCAGGTTGCTAAGGGATGTGTCAATCCACAGACAATTTATTCTCTGAAATGTATGTCCTAAAGAAGATGGAAGTTCATCTGACCCAACCAGTCGTACAAGTCTTCACTACTTTGGGTTTGGTGTTTTTGGTGTTGTTGGGGGTGGGGGGGAAGCTCATAAACTTACCTTTTTTTTTTTTTAATCCAGCGTTTTTAATAATGTTGTATAAAGGTGTTGAAATTCGGTTATATTTATAAAGCATAATTATTTAATTGGATAAGTGGAGTTGGAGTGCAACAGGACAGTTTTATTTGGATCATGAAGCCTTTCTGTGTATGTTTTTTGTATTTTTTAGTAGTGCGAAAGTCTTCAGTGTTTGTCCTGCACTTTTGATGGGATCTGTTGTAGTAAGCATTTTCTGCAGTGGTTTGCAGTCCTTGCTGTCAGGCATTCAAAGCTGCTTTTCCAGCTCCCTAACTGGGATGTAAAATCCTCCCTGGTAAAGGAGATGAACCAGAGCAAATACTTTCTGCACTGTGAATTTCCATTTACTAAAAGATGGAGAAGTGTCATTTTGGTTTTGTAGTTATTATCCTCTTAACACATGAGCAAAACTGATCTTTGTGCTGCTAAAGCTGTGGCTAAAAGCTGTGACTACAAGTTGGAAAGAGAGGGGTATTCATGAAGAGGAAGACTTGAGTATATGGACAAAATCATCATCTTCCTGTGATCCCATTATTTTTAGCAGTCGGAAGAAGATGGAATAGAAATGTTGCTTGTTTGAGCATCAAGAGGTGCTTCAAAACCAGATTCTTCTTGCAGAAAATGAGGTTTCTGAGTGGGACCTGTGGGCTTACAGGAAACAACCTTAAGTGGTAAATGGAGTCATTAGACCTTTTATCTGGGGCTTTGTCCCTCCTCCTGGTGGTGGCTTCTTCTGCCTGATGACCTTAGTCCTGAGTAGGAAAGCTGGCAACTTTTTCAAAGTCTCCTTTTTCTAACAAGCACAGAGAATACCCCTGTGGAGGGCCAGGCACAAGCATGTAAGCATGTTTGTCTCAAACATTCTGCCTGTTGTGCTGTGACAGGAAAGTCACAGCAGTTTGAAGGGAGGGTGCCACGGAGGCAGGGCAGCGCTGCTCTGAGCCGACTTCCCTTTCGTTCCCAGACTTGCAAGTCAGCCTGGAGACTTGGGCTCAGTGTGCCTGTGGCAAGAGAAGGGTCAAGTCCCGGGCATCTCACTAAAGGGGGCTCCTGGACCACCACAGACCCCCAACCTCTCAGTTCCTCATTTCCTTACTCATTTCCTGGAGGGCTTGAAAGGGCTCACTGTGCAAACAGTAGCACGTGGCGCGAAAAGTAAGGACACCTAAACTAGGGAAACTGTAAAAGGAAGTGGATCGGCCCTGAGCTTCTGTTGACCCCGGATCTGGACCATCTACAGTGGCAGGACCGACGTGGGATCTTTTCCCTTCACTTTCTCTCTTTTCCATACTCATTCTCTCCTTTCTTGTTTTGTCCTGGCAAGTGTGGCAATCGTATTCTACCTCTACTCCCTATGGAAGTTCACTGCGAGAATTGGGAGCTTGTTAGCTAACACTCCTACGCCTAAATAGTGGGCTAGTTCTTGGAATTAAGGTGGCTATATAACAAAGGATCAGAGTTCCCTGACTCTGGACTGGTGTCTTTGTTCAGACCTATGAGAATTTATAATGAAGATCGTGCCCGCTTCTGGGTCATGACAACCCCTCCTCCTCACTTGAAAAGCATAGGAGGTTTGCTTATGCCTCTCAAGAATGGCTTTTAATGTAAAGTCTCACTGGAACTATTGGGCCTTTTGTGAAAGAAAGTCAGGACTGACCTCGCCTTTCTTCTCTGTAGTGAACTGAACTTTCTTTGGATCAGTGGTATTGATTTTATTGCTCTTCTTGTCCTGTGCAGCATGGATCTTCCTTTGCAGCTCTCCTCTTGGCTCCCACATTTTCTATTTTATATTTCTTTGAGGGGACAGAAACTTTAGTATTTACATCAAAACTTATTAAGAGCTCATACACATGCCTTGTAGTCACAGCAATATTTGATGCACTTTTTTGTGATACATCTTTCAATTTATAAAAGGAATTTTATTACGTATGTATGAATATGTGCTGTATAATATGGAAGGAATTTATGCAGGGGAAGCATCTTTCTAATTATAGCTCAAAACTAAATGTTTGAGAGCTTTGGCTAATACAAACTGTCACCTATTTTGGCATTTATTAGCTTTTTGTTTTCTAAGAGCGTGCTGTAAGCTACAAGGTGTCTGCGTCTGAAAACTTGTCTTTGGTTAGAGGCAAGGGAAGGGCATGCGCTGGGTCCCTTTACTGAGACTTTCCAGTTGGAAGGATTACATGATAAACCTTCCTGTAGGTCCTCTCCACAGAAAGAAATTGCTGAGGCATGGATGCTGGTGGTGGAGAGAATGGAATTGGAAATAGTGATTGCAGATGAGTAAAAATGGTTAACAGTTTTGTTTCATGATGGATTATCAAGGATTATTGGCAGCTGTTATTTGAAGTATTTTAACTTCATGCTGAATAGCTCAACAGTAACACATTCCCTTGGTTATTTAAAAATACTGCAGGAGCAAGAGAAAACTTAATTTTTAAAGTGAGTGGTGACTCTCCTTTGGCCTTGCAAGTAGAGCAAAGAAACACATCAGACATTCTGTATCAGCAGAAATACTGAAACTGAGCTTTTTCAGTCACTTTTAGTATTGTCTACAGTAGCAGTGCGTGGGGTTTGAAACTGGAAACTTTGGATGAGTTAAGCAAGTATGGAGTAATCAAATCTTAGCAGGGCATGTTGGCTGGGTATCTTTTGTGCAAATCTGGTTTCTCTGTATTGTATCAGTGAGGAAAGATGTAAGTCTTGAATTGTTATTATGAGTATGTGAATTATTTTCTTTCAGAGTCCTTGGTGGGATTGGCAAGCCTTTTTTTTCCAGTTTTTCTAGTTGAAAGTGCAAAAAAAAAATGTTCTGCTTGAACACTGCACCATTCTTGTGCCTGCCATCTGCTGGCCAGATACCACAGCTATGGGGGACTGGCTGCAAAAACCCAGCTGAGGCTCTGTCTTAAGGATACTGGAGAAAAAAACCAGATCCTTTTCTCACCAAGATGTTTCTCAGATGGAGATGGGTTTTTGCATAGCCTCCCTGAGGGAGACATAAGTTTTGTAAGTTCTGTTACCATCTTTCTTCTCTTTCCTAGGATATGATGGAACTCCTAGAGGAAGATCTCACCTGTCCCATTTGCTGTAGCCTGTTCGATGATCCTCGAGTCCTGCCCTGTTCCCACAATTTCTGCAGAAAGTGTCTGGAAGGAATTCTTGAGGGAAATGTGCGGAATGTGCTTTGGAGGCCGTCTCCTTTCAAGTGCCCCACATGCAGGAAGGAGACTCCTGTTGCTGGAGTCAACAGCTTGCAGGTCAACTATTCCCTGAAAGGTATCGTGGAGAAGTACAACAAAATCAAAGTAACTCCAAAAATGCCTGTGTGCAAAGTGCACAGCGGACAGCCCCTTAACATTTTTTGCCGGACAGACATGCAGCTGATCTGTGGTGTTTGTGCCACCCGTGGTGACCACACAAAGCACGTTTTCTGTTCCATTGAAGAAGCTTACTCCCAGGAGAAGCGGGCTTTTGAAACCCTGTTTCAGGGCTTTGAAACTTGGCGTTGTGGAGATGCCCTCTCACGGTTGGATACCTTGGAAACCAGTAAGAGGAAAGCTCTGCAGATGCTGACCAAAGATTCTGACAAAGTGAAAGAGTTCTTTGAGAAGCTGCAGCACACGCTGGAGCAGAAGAGAAATGAGATTCTTTCCGACTTTGAGACCATGAAGCTTGCAGTGATGCAGGCCTATGATCCAGAGATCAATAAACTGAACACAATTCTGCAAGAGCAGCGGATGGCTTTTAACATTGCAGAGGCCTTCAAAGATGTGTCTGAACCCATTATATTTCTGCAACAGATGCAGGAGTTCAGGGAAAAAATCAAGGTGCTCAAAGAAACCCCTTTACCTTGTTCCACTGTGGACATCAGCCCCACAATGAAGAGCTTCGACACCAGCCAGTGGAATGGAATAAAACTAGTTGATGTGGACAAACTTTCTTTGCCTCAGGAAAACAATACTGGCAAATTCAAGATTTCCTCAGTCTTTTCGCGCAGATTTATACTGAACTGTCTTATTTTCTTTACAATTATCTTGTCCTATTTGGCAGATAACGTGGAGATAGCAGATCATGCAGTCTTTTACTGGGAACAGATGACAGATGGAGCTTCACTTTTAAGAGAAAAGTGTAAAAACTATACGTTGGTTGTACTGGATAATGTTGCAGAGTTTGTGTGCAAATATAAACTGTTGTGAAATCCCTGCTGAAATATAAGAACTAAGAGAGATCTGGGGAAGAAAATATAGAACTTCTTAAAATAATTGGTCCTTTAAGACTTCTCGTGAAAACATTCAAAGATTCAAAATGTTGCCAAAACATTCATACTGTTCACATAGTTTGAGCACTGATAAACCAGAAGATGAAACGGGGCTTTGAAAAACACTTAACTTCTGGATTCTTCTTTCAGTCGTGATTATGGGAATATTATTCACTGTAAATCATTTTTCTTACCAAAATACAGGGCTGAACTGTGTACTTAGTTCAATGTTAATGTAATTGTAGAATAAGATAAAAGATCTTAGTTTAAAATATATTTTTTTCTAACTTGGAGGTCATTTGGTAAGAGGAAGAGCAGTTGTGGTTGAGGTCGGTGCTGTATTGACAGGCTTGCTGAGGGCTGCCCTTCCTCTGCAAAATGCAGCATGTGTCATTCACAGTCTAGAGCCACTTTGTGTCTGACAATGTATTTCACTTCTCACTGAAATAGCTGTTTGGTGGGGGTTTTTTGTATAACCAAATGTTGTAATTATCTTGTGCATTCAAATTATGCGTTCTATACAAAAATGTGTCTTCAGGGCAAGCGTAAGTTCTAGAGGTAACGAGAAATCACTTGAGGTTAAGAACAAGCTGCAAGATAGTATGTACTTCGCAGATAGTACGTACTTTGCAGTTTACTTTTCCAGCATGGAATTGTTGGGGTAACTGAGCTGTTTTCTGAGATCCATGTTTCTCTGAAGCCCCACTTTCTTAAAAAGTGGCCTTAATGTAAACAGTTTAGTGCAGTGAAAGGCACACAGGGGTCTGCCTCAGGAAGGCAGCTTGAGCTTTAGCCCTGCAGAGGTGGCAGGTAGAGCAGTTTCTCTCCTGTCTCTCTCTTTCTCCCCTGATCGTAATTCCAAAAGCCAGGAAAAATGATTGGATGATTCCTTGAACAAGTTGTGTCATGTAACAAGTGTATGGATATCGCTGATCTTTGAAGTGCTTTAGCATTGGAACTTAGATAGGTTCTTCTGCTGTTACTGTATTTTTGTGTATCTTGTTTCAGGAGTTAATTGAATTTTCTGGGTGTATTGACTTGGCCTTAGGATGACAGTGATTTAAAGTGAACCTTAAGCTTGAGTTCTCTGAAGTGCCCTTCTTTAGGAGCATACAATACTGAAATGTCTTGCTTGAAGCACATCTAACCTCTTTTTGCAGTGGTCTTATGAACAGCAGTGTATGGAATGAACTATTGAGTTGACATTTACAGAAAACAAACCCAACGTGTGCCATATTTTGGGAATAGTCATTTGCCTCTCTGAAGGTTTAATAAGTTGTGACGGTCTATTCACTGTATTCCAGTAGTCCTTTCAAGCTGTTCATTTCAAAAATAAAACATTAAATTCCAGGAATCAAAGTTTCCAAGCAACCAAACCCAGCAAACAGAACTATTGTACATGATATTTACGTCTTTGTTGCCTGGGAATCCTGTTGCTGCTCCACACCTCACTCTAAACACTTGCAAAACCCACTCACTGGTTCTTGCAGCTGCAGTTGCCTTGCAGTTTAGGAAAGATCAAGTCACAAACATGTAGATCAGAGAGTTGTGATTCCTGAGTGGCTGAGGCAGCGATGAGTAATCAAGAGGTGGTCGTTCTGAGTGTGGGAGGTGTGAGATATGTAACCCGCGCTTCTACCTTGCAGCAGTTCCCTGAGTCCAGGCTGGCACGGATGTTGAACCATGATGACGGGGAATTCAAACTGGTGAATGGGGAATTTTTTGTGGACAGAGATGGAGCTTTGTTTAGTTACATCATGGACTTCTTGAGGACTCTACAAGTCTCCTTACCGACTGATTTCTCAGACTATCAGAGGCTGCGGAGAGAAGCAGAATTCTATGGACTCCACCCCCTGGCTGACCTCTTGAGCCAGGAACACTTGCTAAAGCCGAGGCTGGAGATCTTGGAAGTGCGTTTTTCTCTCCAAGAAATGCAGGCCTTTTTCCGGATCTTTGGTTCCTGCAGTACCACCGTGGAGGCACTAGCTGAGCAGATCACTGTGTTTACAGGGCAGCAGTCAGGACAGAGCTGGAGCAGCCCTTTTCCTTCTCAGAAAACACTCGTTCCACTCCCTTTGGAAAGGCCTTCTCATCACGACATGGTTTTTCAGTGTGGTACTGAGTTCTCTGCTGGGGACCAGTTTGTGGCGAGGTACTCTCCTAGTGTGACTTCTCGTTATGGCGATGTCTTTGTGACTTCTGGTTCGGGTAGCGCACCCTATGTGCTAGCAAAGCTCGTTTTAAAGAAACAGAGAGAAAAGAATTATGTTTCCTTGTTTCTCCTAGTTTGATGTTATCTTTTTCTAGTTTTGAAACACCCGGTTTAATTTCTGTTACACTGATTTGCCTGTTCTTCAGCTTTCTAAAATATTGCTGATGTTTGTTTATGAGTTCTCTTGGGTCTTTCTGTCTGCCCTTTCCTCCTCACTTGCTTTAAAATTTCACAGCATCAATTACCTTTAAGAGGACATGAAGAACGGAGTAAAATGAAGCAAAGGAGACAAAGTAAAGGAGCGCAGTACTGGGGGGAAGCCTAAAATCTCCACTAGCTCATGGTCCAAAAGGCTTTCATATGGAAAAGAGGAAAAAGAGAATGTCTAAACAGGGTTAAAAACATCAGTGAAACCAAGATAGCATTTCAGGGACTGGAGAGCTTTTGTAGAGCCTTTTACTGGGGGAAGGGAGAAGGGGTAGATTATTAACTATATGCTACATAGTGGGTTTTCTTTGAATTCAGAGCCAGGTTCTGTTTTTATTAAGATTACTGTATATCAGTAACTTTTGTGATAGCAGTATCATATTCTAATGACAACTTACGTTTTTAAACAAGCTTTTGCTGGATGTCTCTACTGTATGGAGGCATGTTCTTGCTATATATGAAAATGTAACCTAATTTGTCCTCTGTGGCTGTTAGAACATCTGGAATTTTATGGAAATTTCATTGAAATAGTTCCAAAAGGGTTATTCTATCTGGCTATATGAACCAACACAGCAGTTTTTTGATTATTTTTAAAAGAAAATAAACTTTTCCTTTCTTCCAGCTTTCTTTGGCTAAGCAAGTAGAAGAAAAACTACTCTGCATTCATGAAGCAGCATATATTTGTGTGCCAAACCTTAACTTTGTAATGTATTACTAATTTTAGTGGACTAACAATTGTTTGAGTAGGTTATGGCAACTTAAATAGTGAGGAAAATATTTCTGTTTGTTTCTTTTATTTCTTCAGACTTGGTAAAAATTTTCCTCTGCAGATCAATAGAAAAGCTTATCTTGAGTGATGAAACAAGTCAAGTTTGATTATGTTGATTGCTGAATTTCTGTCTTAATCTTTGTGGTGACATGGATTCTCTTGCCTTTTTTTGTGCTTTCCACAAATATTTGGTGTACTTCCCTGTGACCTGTGAAACAGTTTCACCCCTGTCAGCTTATATATTTTGTAATAGTATCTTTACCTGGCTTCTCTTCCTCAAAATGTCTGGGTAGATTCTTACACTGTACTTTATATCAAGTAGAATTTTATGCAATGTGAAAATGATTTTCATACTTGTTGCCACAAGACCTGCTGTACCAGGTAACTTTGCAATAAATGTCACTGTTTGTAGAGAGAGATCCCGTGTGCTGGAAAGTGATGCTCTTGGGGTGAACGGGGATTCACTGACCATCATTTACTCTTACCTGAAAAACAGTTGCAGCATTAAATAGAGCCTGCCACTCCCCTCTCCTCCATTAAGTGAAACCAGATGGAGGTTGTCACAGCTATTTTCTTAAGAAAGTAAGTTTTGGGAGAGGATAGGAAGGGTGTGTCAAAGAGAAGTGCTTCTTCCTTTACATGTAATTGGATGGACTGAGAATTACTGCTAATGAAGGAAGGAGTTCAGTTGTCCTTAAAGGAGTTAAAAAATATCCAGAACCTTGGTTGCTGTAAACACGTGGAGCTGTGCTGACCTGCACTGTCAAGAAGTGTTAATGTGTGTTGTAACTACCTTTTTTTGTTTTCTGATTTTAGGTATGTTTCCATAAAGCCTGATAATAGGAAGCTGATTAATGGTACTAATGTGCTAGGCCTGCTGTTTCACACTTTACTCAAAGATGGATTTCGTCTCATAAGTGCCAGGACAGTGGCCAGTGAAGAAAAGGTTGAATGCTACAGTTTTGAAAGGATGAAGAGGCCATCAGGCCTTACTGTCACGGTGAACCAAACCCCAGGGAGCTCTGGGGTAGCACAGGCAAGGAGAGGCCAAATGCAGAAGGGGAAATAAAGGCTTTTCCTTTCATCTTTTGAGGTGGAAGAGGGGTGTGTCAGCGCTAGCGGCATTTTTTTTGTTGGCTTGTTTGAAACTGCAACTATTGAGGGAAGTAACAAACAAGCAATTTTTTTTTTCAAGTACTCGGAAAAAAATTGCTTTCCTGCCTTTCACTGCTCCACCCTCTTCAACTCTAAATAAAAGAACCACAGATTAAATACTGGGTTTGTGGACCAGATTCCAGCATTTTCAAGGGTTGTTTTTGTTTTTCTCTGTGGCTAAGATTTACATAGGGACTCGAAAAGCATCAGCTATTTCTTCTTGAAAATAATTTTTATATTCTGTGCTAATCTGTAAGTAGATTTTAAAAACATTGTAATACATGAAGAAGTAACAGCTTGACACAACTGTCATCCCAACAGTTTGGAGAAGTGGCTGGAGGAGGAATTCAAACCTCAATGATTGATGATTGCTCCTCCTTCTCACTGAATCTCTTGCAATTAGCTGAGAGCAGAGTAACGGGAAGATCCGAGTTGTACTGCTGTGTGGCTTTGTGAAGCCATTGCCGGGCTCTGTGAAATAACACATTACTGTCTCTTGTAGAATACTCCTCTGTCCTCCTCCCACTCCGAAGGCATTAAGCGGTTCTTCAGTGCTGAGAATTAAATGATAAAGGTCTTTGTGAGCAAAGGGTCAGCTAGTTTCTAGAGCTTTA